TGACTTCCACAATAAGGCAGAGCGGATCAGGGGGAACGAACACGTAAAACCCACACTCTTTCGAAACAGTTTCACGCTGGAAGAACGGGTTACCGACAAACTACTTGGTTACACAAAGTTCCACCTGATCCTGAACAACCACGTCAATAATGAGGAACATCAATATCGTCTGGCGAAGGAGCCTGGTGGAGGTTGAAGGCCGGAAAGTGGCATGGATCGACGAGGCTGGGGTCTGGCACGCTGCGGGGACAGCCAGGAAAGTTGAGCAGGATGTGAAGGCATCCGTGGACGCATGGAGGGAAAAGGTAGACCCCGATCCGGTGGCCGAGTCTGAGTGAAGGGATGGCCCTCCCTCCCGGGAACGCGTGGCCAATATGACCCTCAACTTGGAGTTCCACCCATCATCCAGAAGTCGTGTATATAGGTATTTGATAACTGTTTTCATTATTTGTCACCCTCTCTCCAAATGGAGCCCAGATGAAACGTCCCAGGAACGCTGAGACTTTTCAGAGTGCCCTTCAGGACGAATCCGATAATTTACTCTGCAATCCCCCTGTCAAGGAAGTCAGCTTTCAGGATCTACGTCGTCAAGGTCAGCGTCGCCACCACCTTCGACGACGACGCCGGCCTGCAGCACATGCAGCACAGCACAGCACAGCGCGCTCCACTACCGAATAGCACCGACCACCGCAACCGGCAGCAACACCACCGATCAGTAGCGACCGACGACCACGAGCAGCCAGAACCAGCAAACCTCGACCACAGCCAACCAACACAACCAACAACACTGACCACCAACCAGCACGACTAGCAACACTTTCCCAAACTAGTTGGCACCACCGACCAACACCGACCGCCAGCGCCAGCAGTGGCACCGACTAACACCAGCGAGTTCACACCGCCCAGCATAGACCAACAACGACAAGCAAACAACGACGCAACCCACTCCAGGCCAGTACCACCAGCAACACAAAACCGATCATTCGCAGACCCCACTCACCCAAGAACAAGACAGCCGACTCGCAGCAACAGGCCAACGCCAGCCATTCCAGACCAGCGTCGGCCACGACCAACCACGAGCACCAACGCTAACGACACCGAGCAGTGACGAGCACCTGCAGCACATGCGCACAACGATCATTCACACAAATGCCCGAGCACTTACGACAGACGACCGAGTCAGCGAACTCATCTCAGAGCCTGACAATGGCCATTGGGATTGCGCGCTCATCGACGAGACGTGGAGAACGAGTGCAATGGAACAGTGGGCCACCATGGGAGAGCATGCGTTTGCTGGATCCGGCAATGGCCAGGCGCGCCACGGAGTTGCTATTCTTATATACAAGTATACACAAGCGCTGGGGAAATCACATGCAGAGTTTGAAGCCCCCTCGCCAAAACTCGCCGCGATGCCGTTGAATCGAAGGCGGTTGAATTTGCACTTGGTGGCCGCGCATTTTCCGCGCGCCGGGCGCAGCGACCCGCGCATCCAGCGCGCGCGCGGCGCGATCCGCCAGATTCACAGAGATAACACACACAAGCACGACGTCATATTAAACTCACTGGCGACTTCAGCGCGCAAATTGGGGCGTCCCGCGCATCAATAGACTGCGACGGCGACGACGACCTCATCGCTTCGAGGTGCGTCGGCCGCATCGGATATGGCGTCGAAAACTCGAGGGGCGCGCGGTTGCGGCGCCGGGCTGTCCAGGAAGGGCCTGCACTTGCCAGCGCGTTCTTCCGACAACCTGCGCGCGGCAGATAGCGTGCATCAGCGGCGACGAGCAGGCGCAGCTCGAATATATGTTGCTCAACCGCAAGCTCTTCAAACACTGCGCGAACGCCGAGGCTAGCGACATTGCCGACCGAGGGCCCGACCGCACGGCTGTCATCATTGAGTCGAAGAGAAGATGCCAGAATCAATGGTAATTGGACGGCCGCGACGCGACGGCGACCAACGGCAGCGCAGACACGCGCCGCCCGACGCTTCCACCGGCAAGATTGCGAATGCGGGCGTCTACCGCGACCGCCGCAGACGACGTCTGAAACCAGGCGAACTACCAACCGACCCGCGATTCCTTGACGAGCGCACCCAGCAATGCCCCATCGACGCCGCCGCCGCTAGCAGCGCCGGGGCGCCGCGAGCAGACCGACGACCGGACAGAGGAGCAGAGCGCGCGCATTTTCATCGCGCGGGGCACCAGGCCCCAAACAACGACCACTGCACCCGCAAACAATTAAGCAAATCGATGCAGCAGGAGATCCGCGCGCAGAAGCGCCCCGCCGCCGTCCAGCTGGAAGAGCGCCGTCGTCGCGGCCAGCGGGGATTTTGCATTTCCGCAAGACTATCGGCCCACATGCACAACGCCATTGGTTGACGAGGTCCCCGGCAGACTTAGCCGCGACAGACTCCAACCAACGCTCGGCCCCCGACGAACTGCAGGCCGGGCTTAAGGCCAGGACGCTCGACCGCCGACCGCGCGTGCGTTTTCCACATCCTCCGCGAGCGCGCGCACGAATGGAACCTGGATTTGTGGGCGCCGGCGCTGGGCTTCCAGCTCGCGACGCAGTCGAGCATACTGGCGCGCGGGCGCCACTCGGAGCACAGGGCGCCCAACGAGGATGCATCTCACCTCTCCAACGACTGCGCCAGGGACAGACGGCCGCGGCCGAGACTGACGCCGGCAGCAGGCCCTGCAGTCTTCTCCGGGGAACAAAGCAGGGCGACCCGCTCATTTTCCCTGATTTCAGAGCTTTATTGCAGAGTATGCATGCACCACCTAGTCGCCGATTGGCAATAGAAGGGCACGGGGGCCCAGCTAGGATTCACAACCGCCGCCGCACTCACTGCCCTCTGCTTCGGCGACGACGTGCCCCTGACCAGCCAGGCGCCGCCGCGCCTCGCCGCGATGCTCGACGACGGCGCGCGCGCAGCGCGACCCAGCGGACTTGAGCTGCACCCTTCCGAAACCCAAATATTCGGCAAACAGACCAGACGGACTGGCAGGGCAAGTTCGCTCACCGCGCGCATTCAGGACAGGGGCGCCGATGCCCTTCCCCGCGATGGCAGCATCAAATACTTGGGTCAACTCATCAGCTTCCTCGACGCGATGGAGACATAAATCTACCGCCGCGCGATGGCAGCATGGGCAACGTTCACTTCGCGCAAACAGGAGTTGACAAGCAATCGCCACCCGCTGGCACACCGACTCCGGCTTCTCAGTTGGACATCGACACCCGCAGCATTATGCCGAGCAGAGACGCAGACGCTCACATAATCTCTCCGGCTACACCTGCGGCGAACACAAGGACGCATGCTCCGCGTGATCATCGGGGCACCAAGGCGACGCGCTGCCCGCAAAAAAGACCCCGACGAGCAGCGCCCAGGGCCGCGCGGGCGACCGCGCGACAACCCAAACACCTCATCAAGAAACCAGCAGCAGCGACGGCGCAGAGAGCAGCACGCCCCAACAAGACACGACAGACCGACAGCGAGAGCAACGACAAGAACAATGACGAGGACGCGATGGCGCCGTGGGTCGACTATATCCAGCGAGCCACGCGGCGCGCAGGGCAGCTCATGCAGCACCGCCAAATTGACAACTGGGAGATGATTCGCAGGCAGAGGTCGTCGCGCACGGCATCCACGGTATCCAACCACGAGCCTTCCAGATGGACGTGGCGAGCACTCCACTGGCAACCAGGAGAGAACTCACGCCAACATGGCGGGAGACGCCACGGCGGCCAGTGCAAGCGTTGGGCCGACGACCTCGTCAGTGTCCTGCAAGAACACCGACCCGACCTGCAACCGGCGCCCACGCCAACCGATGAGCAGAGCAAGCCACAAAACCTTACCTGGGTTCGCTCAGCTCAAGTGCTCGACACCCGAGCACAAATAAGTCAGCACTTCGCCGACACTCACAACCAGGACTTCCCCTTCGTCCTCTCCTCCTCCGTCATAACTTTTTGTGTTGCGCAGAGTCATAACGTTTTGTATGTCTCGCAATTCCTATGTTTGTCCGCATGTTTGCAGGAGGCCATGACCTCACCCACCTGGTCTTAACAGAACCGGGCAGCTGTCCGGTGTGGTGGTTCGTTGCTCACCCAGATAACGACCCCCCCCTAAAAGGTGCCGACCCAAACCCCGCCTCAGAGAGGTCGGGATCCTGGAACATCCTCGACGACCTGGCGGGTCACCAAGCTCGAGTAGACACGGTGCCCACGACCACCCCCGCAGGCCCCCCTGTCCAAGGGGGCATTGCGACCACATCGTGGGAACAGTGTGCCCCGAGTGCGGTGAATTGGCGCATGGCGGACAGGACCATACGTGCTAGTCGCCGCGCCCACCGCCCCCCGCGTAGGGTGATTTTTCCCCGTCGCGGCAAGAGTGACGAAACCCTGAGATCTTGGACTGCCTCCGCCCGCCATGCACGGCTGGGCGATGACAGCCCCGCGACCAAATGGCCCCGTCCATCCCGCCGCGGCGCAAGTCTGGAATGCTTGCGACTACCACTTTTCTCTCCCCCAGGGACGCACCCGGGGTGACGAACGGGTGGCTACCCGCTTGTTATCTTTGGAAGGTGATCCAGTGGCCCAGGTGCCTGGGGAGGAAATGGAGGAGGACGAGGACGAGGACGAGGACGAGGACGAGGACGAGGACGAGGACGAGGACGAGTTTGAGGAGGAGGAGGAGGAGGAGGAGGAG